CTAAGCATCATGGACCACACAGTAGGAGCTCCTGTGATATCTGCAGCTGGGCTCACTGGAATTCTAGGCCAACACTGGAAATATATACTTCACCTGTATTTAAGGTTAAATATCACATTAAACAATAAAAATTTAAGATAATGAATGCATACATTCAAAGGACAGGCTCTGCATGCATATAATTAAAAGAAAATTCTTCAATAATAACAGCTTGGGCCAGAAGGGGCAAGGATTATCAGTTTATGTATAAATACATTAGTGAGAAAGAAAATACACAGTAGTATTTAACCTTGCCATTATTCATCTTTAACTAATGTCTACCAATTCAAGTAAGTCTAAACTCTGAGTCACATTTTAAAAAGAGGACTGGATTTTTTTTTTTTTTTTTTTTTGGTTTTTGTTTTCTTGGTGTTAGATATGTGACAAGAATGTTAGAAATATGTTTTTTATCCAGGAGAACATTAAACATACATTAAACTAGCCTACAAAAAGCAGTAACTCTTCTCACCTTGCAAGAGACAGACAAGGGGTCTACGGTAACTTGATCACTCAAATTTGGAGCAAGGAAATCACAAACAGGATTAAATATCAACCACTTCACAAAATTAAAGTGTAAAAAAGGGGGAAATCCTTCACCTTCAAAACAATTAGGCAAAATTTCCGACAATTGAAAAGTGAATTAACAACTTTTGGTTTCAGAGTAAATGGGATGGGGTGGGGGTTTGTGATGGTAGAAACTGTCCTCTTCTAAAATGCTTAGAAAGTCTGGATAAAACACAACCTTTTTTTTAACTCTACAGAAGAACATAAAAGAAAATAAAGGAAATCTCCTGGGCCTCCAAAGCAAAGTAACTGGAACCAGAGGGGAAACCAGAGGGGAAACAAAGGGAAGCCTTGCTGTCCTTGAGGGCATTTTCCCAGACTTGGGAACTAGACCCTAAGTGGTAACAGCCCCCACCCCTGGGGCAGGAGACAAGGCTGTAGGTCTACACAAGGTGGGGAGTTACAACTAGTACCCTCATAAAATCTTAGACCCTCGAAGAGCTCCTATAAATAAAAGAACAGACTAGGGAGAGCCCTTCTGAGAAAGAGAGGAAACAAAGGAGGGTGTGTGTTTTTGTCTCCACTCTGTCAGCAGTCAGGTGTTTCCTAAATTCATAAAGGCTTGAGATTCAAATATATAGAACTTTTGAGTTTCAGAAAACACCATCTTGAGATTGTACCAGGTTGATGGTGCCACAGGGATACCCTGCAGACACAAAACCAAATACAGTGTTGAGAAGCAACACAACCCACATATACGATCATTTGATTTATGTTCATAGTTTAGTTCAGTGGCATCACTATGGTCTAAACGAGATTAGATCAGTTGGAAAAATAATAAGTCTTGTTCCCCTACGTCATCCATTTACAAAACCGAGTCTGGCTGGACGAAAACAATAAAACTTAGCAACTACAGCTTGTGAGCCAAATTGCCTGCTTCTAATTTTGTAAATAAAGTTTTTTTGTAACACAGTCACACCCATTCATTTACATTTTGCCTGTGACTGTTTTTGCACTGCAAGCCATGGCGAAGTTGAGCAGTTACCACAGACATATGCGGCCTGAAAGCCTGAAGTATTTATTATCTGGCCCTTTATAGAGAATATTTGCTGCCTCCTATTCTGTAACACAACATGGGAGAATATTTTCATGGCTTTGGCATAGCCAGATCCCCAAAAAGTGCTACTGATGAAGGAAATAACTGATAAATTGAACTACACGAAAATTAAGAACTTCTGTTTATCAAAACGTACCATTAAAATAATGAAAACACAAATCCCAGAGAGAAGATATTCACAGTGCTATATTTGACAACGAACCGTGCTCAGAATGTACAAAGAACTCTTACGAATTAATTAGAAGAAGACGAGGAAACCAATTTAAAAAAATGGGCAAAAGACTGGAACAGCTGTTCGCAGAAGAAGACATCCAAATGGCCAATAAACACGTGAAACTCCATTAGTCGTGAGGGAAATGCAACTTAAAAACACAATGAACACAACGAAACACACTTCCCAGAATAGCCCAAATTAATTTTTTAAAAAATAATAATGCCAAATGTTAGAATGTGAACAATGGGAACTTTCATATGCCACTAAAGGGAATATAAATTGGTGGGTCTCCTGAAGCATGCAAATATCTATAAAAACTAAACCTACATAAAACAACCTAAGCCTGTCAATAGATAAATTGTGATATACATATAATTAAATACTACATAGGGGCCCCTGGGTGGCTCAGTCAGTTGACTGTCCGACTTCAGCTCAGGTCATGATCTCGCAGTTCGTGAGTTTGAGCCCCACACCAGGCTTGCTGCTGTCAGCACAGAGCCTGCTTCGGATCCTCTGTCTTCCTCTCTCTCTGCCCCTCCTCTGCTCATGCTCTGTCACTCAGAAATGAATCAACATTAAAAAAAAAAATACTACATAGCAATCAAAAGAATGAACTCTTGATACATGCAACAATATTGATTAGTATATATATGCTACATAATATATACGTTAGTTTGGTAGGGCTGTCACGGAATACCATAGATTCCCTGGGTGACACAACAAAAATTTGTTTTCCCACAGTTCTTCAGCCAGAAGTCCAACACCAAAGTATCAGCAGGTTTGGTTTCTTCTAAGGCCTCTCTTCCTTGGCTTGGCTTTCTCTCTTTCTTTCTCTCTTTCTTTCTCTGTGTCCTCACATGGTCATCCTCTGTGCCCACGCATGTCCGTGTCTTCCTATAAGGACACCAGTCATATTGGAGTAAAGCCCACCAATACCACCCATGAAGTCAATATGGCTTCATTTTACTTTAATTAACCGCTTCCAAGTCCCTGTCTCCAAACAGGGTCATATTCCGAGGTACAGGGGGCTTAGGACTTCATCCTATGAATTTGCAGGGGACACAATTCAGCCCATAATTTAAGTATCTGTGTCTGTATCTACCTATATCTATATCCATACCTATTACTATATCTATATATCTATATAACTATATATCTATATACCTATATCTATCTATATCTATATCTCTCTATAGACCTAGATCTAGATATATATATAGAGAGAGAAAAAGAAACCAGTCACAAAGAAGTGTATATTGCATGGTTTCAAAAACTGATATATGCGGTCATAGAAATCAGTACAATTGTAGTTGTCTTCTGGGGTTAAGTAATTGGAGAAAACATGAAGGAGGTTTCTAGGGTGCTAGTAATGTTTCTTAATCTGGATGATGGCTATTCAGGAGTGTTTATTTGTAAAGATTTGTTGAGCCATATGATTTACTTATTTGTCAGTATCTATCTTATAGGCTAATGAAAGTTTATTTAAAATTTAAAAATTCAGGGATGTCTGGGTGGCTTAGTTGGTTGAGTGTCCGACTTTGGCTCAGGTCATGATCTCATGGTTTGTGGGTTCAAGCCCCACATCGGGCTCTGTGCTGACAGCTCAGAGCCTGGAGCCTGCTTCGGATTCTGTGTGTGTGTGTCTCTCTCTCTGCCCCTCCCCTGCTGTGCTCTCTCTCTCTCTCTCTCAAAATAAATAAATAGACATTAATTTTTTTAATTTTAAAATTCATACTTACATGGCAGAGGAGATACCATGATCACATGGTTCTCTCAAGGCAGAGGTCATCCAAAGCACTCAGGTCTTTCTGACACCTGCAATTTCCTCAAGCAGGGGAACTCAGCTGCACAATTTCTGTTCGTGGGGAATTTCGCACTGTCCCCCGATTTAAAAAGAAAATTAAGTTAAATTAGATCAAAAAATCCAAACCAAAGCAGCAAAAAAAGAATCAACTTTAAACATGTGCTCAACAACAAAAACACAAGGGAGTAGATCAATATAAGCAAGTTTGGAAGAAATAGTCATCTACCTTACTAGCACTTCAAGTACTTATAATAGTGGAAGCATATAGCAAAATAAATAAGTTTAAAGATATAACAGAGAAAATAAAAGCATAATCAAAGGCAAAATATTATTTTTTAGGACCAGATAGATTGAAAAAGACCCAGAGCTCATCAAAATGAAAAAAAAAATCATTGAAATGAAAAAAAAATAATTTGGAGACTTAAAGACCAGTTCAGACATGGCTGAATAGTAAATTGGTGGATTGGAAGACAGGTCTGAAAAAGCCATTCAGAATACTCTGCTGAGGAAAACAGATGGAAAAACCAAAGTTAAGATATATAGAGAATCAAGTAAGAAATTCTAACAGGTGTTGAACTGAAATTCCAGAAGAAAAGCATATATAGCTCTTTATGCACTTGTCTGTCTAGCTGTCTAGCTGTCTAGCTATCATCATTCTTATCTATCAAGAATGGTTGATTTTCAAGAATTATAAAAGATATGAATTTACAAACTGAAAATATGTAACGAATACCAAAAAGGAAGACAACAACAAATCCATCATAGAATTAATTCTTCCTAGAATTGCCGTTAGTTAATCTGAAGAAAATTAAAGTGTTAATTTATCCAATTTTCTTTCCTAGTTCATAATGATCTGGTTAATCATATCAAAATGCAAGGACCGAAAATTCTCTCTCTGGATCCTTGCCATGCTCTTCCATAGTACGTAACATAACCCTGTTGAATTAATTTTATAACAACAAGTCTTCAAATGGTTTTAAAGCTGCTTTGAAATTTCACATCTTTAAGAACCTACAAAATATTTGAAATCTCCACCCAAATAACTTTTTACACCTCATTTTACAAAACAATCACTATGAGTTGGGGAAATGATTGATAAATGTCCTCTCAAAGCTGAATCAGGAGGTACCAGTCTTTGCAAATAAAAAATTATCTTTAAAGAGAATTCTCAGACATGCATATTTTAGGTGTCAGAGTATCTCTTCATAATGATTTTTACCAGATCTCTGAACTTAGTAGTGACTTGTTATTATGTATAATGTGTCCATGTGAAATATTACGTTATTTTAATGATTTGTCAAATTTTCCCATTCTTTCTCCAGCGAAAATTGATCCTCCAGTCATGAATATAACTCAAGTTAATGGATCTTTGTTGGTGATTCTTCATGCTCCAGGTTTACCATATAGAGACCAAAAAGGAAAAAATGTATCAATAGAAAATTACTATGAGCTAGTATATCGAGTCTTTATAATTAACAATTCAATAGGAAAGGTAAGTTCAGGTGAATAGGTAAGTTTGGTATTTTTCTTTTATTCATTTAAGTAACATTTTAGCTCTAAAGTATGTCCATTCTTTTGCCACTCAGTTCCTTTTACTTTTCTTTACCTTTTTTTTTTCAATTCCTTTTCACTTCCACCCTCATTGATAAGCAATTTGTGACTGGCATCACCATCAGATGTTTGTGTGTGTGTGTGTGTGTGTGTGTGTGTGTGTGTGTGTGTGTTTGTGCCTTTGCTCAGCTGGTCTCCACTTCATCCTGCCTAGTTAATCTGAAGAAATTAAAGTGACTATCTAAAGATTGGTGCATATCTAAAGATTGGTGTTAACAATATTTAATTCCATTTGATGACCACAAATACTAATTTTTATGGATTTTATACACTCTTTTTAAGTAGCTTTTGGATCACAGCATTATATATTTAGGCCAATTTTGTTATAGTATTTTAATCCACCATATGTGCCTTTATCTTGTTTCATAGTTAATTGAATGTTCCTTTTTGGTGTCCATCTAAGACAAGGTTCCTATTGTTGTAAGGAACAGAAACTCACTCAAACTGGTTCAAATAGAAAAGGGGAGAGGGAAGGGAGGAGCTTAATAAAACTCCCAATAAACAAGTGATCTTAGGGACAGGAAGAAACAGGAAATAAAGTGCTGCCGGGCTTTGAAGGGACAGGGAAGGACGGATAGAGAAGAGAGTCTTAAAGGATCCTGATCCGTGTCTCTGGCCACATGTTGCATGTCTACAGTGGTCTCCAAGTCTCCTCCATTTTCCTCACTGCACAGCATAAATTCTTGGAAAAGGGATTCTGGCCATTGAGTCAACCAGTCAACAGCCCTTATGTCGCATGTACACAGCCATGACCTGTCCCTTTATCAGGCTCTGAACTAGGACTCTGGAGAAAGAGGATGTGTCTGGGAAGAAACCCTATAATCCAACCACTACCGAGACCGTGGACAACTTCTTAATAATAGAGCAAATCAGTGACTAACTGAAAGCCATTTGTCATCTTACTTTTCCCTTTATGTACAGGAACAAAAGGTATATGAAGGAGCTCACAGAGTTGTTGAAATTGGAGTTCTGGCACCTCACACTGCTTACTGTGTAGTGGCTGAAATGTACCAGCCCATGCTAGACAAAAGAAGTCAGAGAAGTGAAGAGAAATGTGTGGAACTTCCTTGAAGGGTTCTGGAGTGCTCCACAATATGGAAATCAAAACTCTCTGAGAGCGGGATGGCTCATGTTTGAAGGATCTCACTGAAAGTTGTGCTTATATTTTCTTGAGGCGGTGTTCACCATTAATTACACCTTGGGGAACCCTTTGTTTACCCATTCTTTCTTCCTTTACATTTTACTGGTAAACTAATTTAAGCAACATGGCTCAAAACATTAGAATTTAAAGAGGAGGCAAAGAATAAAGTCCTCTCTGAATGCGGAACTTTGTCTCTGAATGTAACATCCCAACCACAGCCTGCATTGTTCTAAGACAGCTGAATAAACATTTAAGAGACAAGGTAATAGTAGACATTTAACAAAAGAGAGTTGGATTAATTTTTTTTAAGAGAGTGCTACAGATAAAAGCAATCTTGAAGCAATTCTTTTTCACTCGCTATTGAGACAGTTCACTTGACATAGATATGCCAATTTTTACATAAATGGAACTTTTACATGAATGAATATTTTCCATGGATTTCCTATTTTATATGAATGTACTTTTTCATACATTAATTTTCTGTTACAAAATATTTCCACTTAATGAGCCAATATTTTCTTTCAACTTCTATTCTATGTAAATACAAATAGCATTTGAAAAAAAGACTTCTCATGATCTCTGGATTAGTATCTAGATTAATATTGACAATAACATCTAAATACCAAAGGAATCCTATGCAATACAATTTCCTTCATTTAATACATACTCACATTAAAGGTTTCTTTTCTGTTTGTTTTGTTTTTTTTCTTAATATTACCCTAAAATTATTCATCCTTATTCTCAAAATCAAGTAAATACCTTTCAGCAACAAAGTGAAAAGAAATTTTGACTCCAATTTATACCACAGTTACCACTCAACCCTCCTGGCAAAGGGTCCTTGCTGGTGGCACCATCGCCTTCTCTCTGCACAAGGATGTTATGAATGACAGTTTGAGTGGGGGGGTATGGAGGGTGGTTGGGGACCAGGTAGAGAAGTTGGCTTGAAGCTGAAAGCATACAGTGGGTGGTAGGTTTATTTGGAAGAGGGACTGGTGTGAGTGGAGATTATAGGGCCAAAGAAAACCCAACAGTGACCTTCCAGAAGCTCCACTGCCCCCTGAGCAAAGGTCTGGCCTAATGCTCAGGTTAGGCAACAAAAAGCTGCCTTCTCCACTTTGGGCTCAGTCTTGTATGTGTGTTTAAGGTTGTCTTTCTTGTGAAGAGATACATATCATAGAATATTTGTACAGTTCCTCATGAAAACTGCTCCTAAACGTGATAACAATACAGTAATTGCTTCGGGTTATACACAATTGCACACAATAATAGGTGGATTAAAAATTACCAGAATTGCATGGAGGGAGAGAATAAGAGACAGAATAGGAGCTAGAGAATTAGTTTCATTGCTCTCCCATATGGTCAGAAAAAAATGAATTTGAGCATAGATCTAGAGACAATCTCAGCCCAATACCAAGAACTAACCATAAAACTGGATGAAGGGATGGTCATTTCTCCAGGCACATCCCTCATCAGGTCCAGGCTTCAGTCTGTACAAGTCCACATTTGCAGTCCGCACTGTATCTTTAGCCCTCACACTTGGCCACAAGGCAGTCATGGTTATCATGAAATAGATGGTCACTCACCTTATAGGCGAACATCTGAGAGGTTGTGATTTGATAAGGTCAATAGACCATATCTATCTACTCCATAGCTTAAGCGCTTTTTATCAGACCCTCTAGAACTTCCTCTGGGATTTGGTACATACAGATATCCCTTTAGTTTCCTAGTTAAAATACCTTTTTTTAAATGTCAGTTTTGCTCTGTTGAACTTCAGGACTTTTTTTTTCTGTAATGTCAGTCGGTATGTAGAAGGGCAAGTATTGGTCTTTAGGACAAGAGAGCAGTCGGGGCCAGAAGATCTAATGGGACAGCTGGGCAGCTGGTGAGTAGCCATCTGCTCTCAGAGACAAGTAGAGCAGCACCAATATAGCACCTATTTGTCATGCATGGTTGGAAGGTATGTATCCACTGGAAAGATCTAAGTCTATACGGGTATTGGCAAACTTTCACTAGTTGGAAAATACCATCTCCAAGTTGCTTCTAAGGCTAGTCTCAATAATTTGTATGGTATCTTGATTTTCAAGAAAAAATTCAGAAATTTATTTTGTAACAGAAGACCCAATGTTTTCAAGGCAAAAAACAAATAAATCAAAAAACCAGAACCAAAATCAACAACAATGACAGCAACAAAACAACCTTATGACTTAAAGAGCTGATTTAGAATGAAGTCTAGACAAGTCTTTTAGAATTGGAACCACGGAAATTCTTACACCAGACTCTGTGATTCCCTTTACTTATCTGCCATTTACCCAGGGACATAAGTGAACTTGGAGAAGAGAAGAGAATATTTTTTCGTTGTTTCAGTGGATTTTCTTTTGTCTATTTTATCGTGCTGGTTGGGACCACATGCCCCTGAAAGGAAAGTGGGCCTTTGTCTCTAAACAGTAACAGAACTGACTACAAAACTCAGTGCTTGGTGTTGCCCAGACTGAACAACCAAAATTGATCTCTACAGAATGAGGGTGATCCAGGGGGAGGGAGCTTGACCCCAATGCCCCCAAAGTGTCAAATTTTTTAAAGCTAAGACCTCAGTCCCTTTCACCACTTCAGTGATAGCTAGCCTCTCTTACTCCTGGGCCTGATGTGGGCAGGGACTGGTCCATCGGGCATTCCCATGGGATGCCCCAATTCCCCTGTCTAAGCCTTCCTCCTTTCTGACCCCCCCATTGGTGACAGAAAGCAACCATGAGCCAGTTCTGCCAGATACTTGGATTGGGGCTTTTTATCTATAAAAAATTAATCAGGAGCAGTATACTTTGCCTTGAGTAAAACTAATTCCAGACATACTGTGCAGCTGGAACATACTGTCTCTACTTTCAGAGACAGGCACAGTTGTAATCACTGGAAAGATCTCTTAGGTCTATACAGTGATTGGCAAACTTCACTTGTTGGTAAATTCCATTTCCAAGTTGCTCTGCAGACTAATAGCAAGAATTTTCCCTGCCCTTGAAATCATACAGTACCCAAGGCTGATGATCCCGTGAGAGGTCTAGGAAGGTGGGTGATGGTGAGAAGAGGCATACAGCAGCTAAGGTGGACACTGCGTAGCTGGTCCGTCTTTGCAGTCACCCCTCATTTCATCCACTGACCCCAAGATTGCCGCAAGACAGCCCCCGTAGCTCTGTTCTTCTTCCGTTGCCCCTGTTTGTCACCTTATCAAAGGGGTCTCCCGCACACGTGCACGGTGTCTTCCCCTGGTGGGATTTATCTTCGGTGGGTCAATCAGACTTCTTTTCAAATATTGAGAGTGGGATAGAGAAGCCTGCTGTCTCCTCTGGGATGGTGAACAGTAAGGATCAGCTAGATATGGAGCTGCCACACAGACCAACTTTGCCGCCAGAAAGAGAAAGCCCATTCGTGAATAAAGTGAACGTAAAGAAAGCAGAGCAGAGGTGGAGAAAGAGATTTCTGATGGTATGCAAGTAAATCTGGCAGCACTATTAGTCAACCTGCTGAACTCTGGCTTGGAGCAAGCAAATAATTTGCCTTTCCCCCTTACTTTAACTTTCACTAAACTTCTGTCACTTTCAACCCAGAGATCCTTAACTAATAGAATAAAGTAACAAGCGTGTGTGGCATGACTTGTGTGCTATATTAACAAAAGTAAACTTTGTCCACGTCCCCTATCACTTTTAAATACCGAGAGGAACATTGCTAGAGAGCGTACCTTTCTACAGATGATAAAATTAATGCAATCTGAACTCAGGAAAACCCTACAAGTGCATGTGTTGTCCTGCTCAAGGCTTTTTTAGAGACAGAGTCAGCCACTGTCTTGTGTTCAGCAAATTCTCAACTTAGTGATATCACTTGGTTCATTTTTCAGCTACCTTGGCACTAAATACATGTGCAATTTCATTTCTACCCATTTTTATAACAGCAAATCAAGGTCCCATGTGATATTCTTTAGAAATCACATAGCTGGGGCGCCTGGGTGGCGCAGTCGGTTAAGCGTCCGACTTCAGCCAGGTCACGATCTCGCGGTCCGTGAGTTCGAGCCCCGCGTCGGGCTCTGGGCTGATGGCTCAGAGCCTGGAGCCTGTTTCACATTCTGTGTCTCCCTCTCTCTCTGCCCCTCCCCCGTTCATGCTCTGTCTCTCTCTGTCCCAAAAATAAATAAACGTTGAAAAAAAATTTAAAAAAAAGAAAGAAAAAAAAAAGAAATCACATAGCTATGTGAATACTGTAACCAAAGGGCCAGTATCTGCCATTTGCTCTATTAATATAATCTTCAAGGCCAAAAAGTCCTTTTAGAATGCTCCACATTTAGGCCACAAATATTTGTTGATGTCCTAATATATGCCCAGTACAGTGCTAATGACTCTATTCCATGTACCACAGCGACTATGTCTTCAGTACTTGTTTCAAATGCTTACAGCTCTCTTGTTCTCTCTCTTCCACACACACACACACACACAGCAATTGCCATTATAGGCTCCTAGGGTGTCATCTCTACTGATTTGAGAACAGGACTTTGTAAACTTCGTCTAAATTCCAGCCAATACCTGACTTCACCTCTATCTTCCATATTTGCATAGAGAACAATATTTTTCATTGCTTAAAGTTAATCTGAGGGGCGCCTGGGTGGCTCAGTCAGTTAAGCCTCAGACTCCGGCTCATGTCACGATCTCGTGGTTTACGGGTTCGAGCGCCACGTCGGGCTCTGTGCTGACAGCTCAGAGCCTGGTGCCTGTTTCGGATTCTGTGTCTCCCTCTGTCTCTGCCCCTCCCTGCTCACATTCTGTCTCTCTCTTCTTCAAAAATAAATAAACATCAAAAAAATTTTTTTAAAGTTAATCTGTTATTTCTTGTTTTCTCAAAATAACTTTAGCAAAGAGGAATGTTTCCAGAAACATTGTTTGTCAACTCCTTA